ATAGCTCAGTGGTTTGAGCATTGGCCTGCTAAACCCAGGGTTGTGAGTTCAATTCTTGAGGGGGCTGCTTAGGGATCTGTGGCAAAATCAGTACTTGGTCCTGCTAGTGAAGGCCAGGGGCTATACACAATGACTTTTTGGGGTCCCTTCCTGCTCTATGAGATAGGTATATCACTCTTCCAAAAATGGGACCTTCTGCTAGTTTCGATGGCCCTGATAAGCCATCCCTTCAGTGTTGGCTTTTTATTTATCCATTAAGAGTGTTTCTTGGTAGCTGTCAGGTCTGCCAGGTGAGTGTCGGAGCTGGCAGCCCTATGTATATGAGAGCCTTACTGTGTGTGCCATGAAGACAAGTGGTGCTCAGGACACCAGAATCCTTTCTTCTTAAGGTAAGTTGCTCCTTCCACACTTTCCAAGAGGTTGTGCTTTCTTCACTCTGTCCAAAACTACAACATCCAACTGAAAAGGGGTGGCATGCCTTAGATGTCAGAATAGCATTGAAAATCTATTTCAAGTGTACAGACTCCACAAGAAGATTGAGCTCCCTATTTGTGTCCTTCCACCCAAAGAGACAGGGACTCAGAGCTTCCAAGTCCTCCATCACTACATGGATTAAACAATGTATCATGGGAGCCTACAAATCATCAGGAGTTCCTGTCCTGGAAGGGATCAAGGCACACTCCATGAGATCCTTAGCCACCTCAGGGGTGGAACAAGGAAGTGTGTCTACTTGAGAAGTTTGCAAAGCGGCCACTTGGTCTACAGCTAACACCTTTATTAAACCCTACAAGGTGGACCTTCTATCTTCTGTAGAGGTCTCCTTTGTCAGCAAGGTACTGCAGGTGGCATCCCAGAAATAATATAGTTCTTTGAGCGAGCTCATAAAAAGGGGGGGTATTTATTTACCAAACTCTTGTTTTCATAACTTTCCCTTTATTTGTTCACTGCTCACTATTTCCCAGATGTCCAGATTTGTGGGAGATGCTGGGCTCCAGAATAAGAATATTTCTTGATGATGATTTCCTTTCTTCTAGCAACGGCCCCCACAATTCTACCCACTCTAGATGGCTAATGAACACCAGAAATTAAGTGGAATCATTACCATCAGATCGGATTTCGTGGGTTATATGTACATAGTTATTTTATTGTCTCCGGAATATTTTGGTAATAGTGGTATGCAAGTTTTACAGCTGGGAATAACTCATTTGGCAGCAAGCTGGAGCAGAGAGGGTGTGGCCAGAGCGTGCAGAGCCAAAATGCTGATCTGTCTCCATGAAGCTGCAGAGAGGAGAGCAGCCCAGACTGTGGGAGATACTGCTAGCGGAAAGGAAATTATCAATAAGGAATTCTCTGTTTACACTATTTAGAATCTACATCTTCAAATATTTTATATGTCTACATTTCCCTTAAGAACTTTAGCATCTTAGCATTCCTCTAGAACTTTTTTCTTCCAGAATAGGTGAGGGGAATCTGTGGAAAGATACATGCAATTTCCTTATGTGTAAATGAAAGTTTCTAAAAGTACTGTTGCATAGTTACATGTTCATACCTCCACTATTTCTCCTGTCATATTGAGTACCCTTTTTGCTTATCCTCTAGTTTAGAACTTAAGTCCATGTTAACTGGAACATGGAGAATCTGATGCATTTTGTAAATTCATGCATCTTGATTTTTGACTAGCGGTTCAAATGGAGTTTCCAGAAAAATCTAGAAGTTAAGAGAACATTCCTTACTTATACAACAGTAATCACAAAACCCAAGCATGTTGATTTATAAAGAATACTACCATGAAAAATCTGTACTTAGATATTTAATTTACCTAGTTGTGAGAGATGATGCAAGGATGTTAGAAGCCCCTTTGACAAAATTGTGTTTAGGCCCCCACAAAACTCAGGTGTGCACCATTCTGACCTTCTTCCCTTGTTCTAGGCCTGGAGATCTGGCCAGCATATGAGTGTAACTTACACATATCTTTGCAAACACCTCAGATCAAAGGTGAGATCTAGTGACCATACAGCTGAGGAAGTGGTTTCAGAAACCATCTGTATGAATTGTCTAATTGCTATACATAATTTTCATATTCCTAGAAACTTGGATAAAAATAGATGGTGGTCAGTCTTTTCTTTGGAAAAAAGTCTCCTTCTTATAAAAACATAATGTAAATTGTTCTGCTGCTTCATTTTCTGACTTTGAGAAATTCTCCAATACAATTTAGAACAACTGTGACAAAAATCTTCATAATTTTTCTGCTGGCTTTTGTTTTTTGGGGGAAAGAGAAAGTATTTTATACCTTTTGTCACATAAGAGAACACTGGAGTTGCATTGAGTCTGTACTGTTTGGTGATGAAGAGAGACATTGATGCTAGCTTAGTTTACTCTAAACCTAATATGTTAACGGAAAAGTCTGGAAAAATCTTGAAATATGGATAGCAAAATATTTGTATGCGCAACATTAAAGTACCTGAGCTATAAATGAAAACCCAACCTTTTATTCATCAATGTTCACATTTACTGCCAAAGGCAAGTTAGAATTTCTCAAATACATGTTTTTTTTATTAAAAACGGGAAAGAGGGTAACATAACTTATTAATATGTAAACACAGTTTTGTATACAGAAGAAATTGTACATTTAAGGCATTAGATCAGAAATTACAAAGTATGATCTCATGTGCATTTTATTTTTTGGACTTATATTTTTGCTTTTGCTCATTAGGCAATAGGTAAATGGCCTTCCTTGAAGAAGAGCTGATAATGGCCACTGAGATTTGCTGCAAGCATTGATTTAATTTTTCTTCTTTTGTTCAAAGGTTGAGTTTTATGATGAAACATTAGCAAAGCTGCAGAAGGAGCTGAAGCAATCAAAAGAACAGCTCATACAATGTACTAAAAATCTGTATTCTACAGAACAGAATATTCAGGCTTTAAACATGGAAATAAGTTTATAGGAAAGAAATCAGAGTCCATTGACAAGGTAATATTCTCTTATCAAACTGTATTTTTCATCCTGCAATATCTTATCTCTTTAAAATAGTAAATGCTGTACACTGTCAATATAAAATGTTTAAATAACTGCTAATTCTAGGCATCAGGAATAAAATATACATTTTGGTATAAAGAACAGTTAGTAAAAAATATTCTTCTTTTTCTGCCGGGAATGAATATCTATGAAGCAATTCACATTATTGGGTTACAGATCCTCACATTTGTGACCTCAGAAGCTGATTAAATATTTGATCAAATTAAAAACCTCTAATGATGTTTTTCTTTGGTTGGTGTCCCCAGTTTGATGGATTTGCAGATAGGTGCCTGGCAGACCCAGTGTTCCAAATGTCATCTCTCCCTTTTCCTCTCCATTCTCTCTCTCTCTCGATCTCTTCTTTCTCTGATCATTTTTCTTCCTTATTTTTAATGTCTTGGGAGTTGGGGTGGATTGGTTGTTTTTTACTTTCTACTTTATTGTTTTGGGTTTAGATTTTATGTTTTTCTCCTTCTCCAGTGAATCCCACCCCTCAACAAGGCTACATGCTGTTCTATGTATCAGAGTGGAGTGGCTCTGTAGGGGCAAGCCACGTGTGTATCCAGGGTTGAATTACAGGAGGGGGGAGTTGAGAAGCTTGGGTGATTAGTCTGCTTCTTGAGTCTTCAATCTGGTACATGTTAATTGCTCTCATGGCCAGCTGCATTAAGCAACAACATGAAAGTGGGTATGGCTATTGGTTTAGCTTTCACTGAACCACTTGTTGCTTTACCTACAGCTACAGGAATATATCTGTAGTTTGGGGTGGGCAGATTTGAGGTCTTGCTGTTTTCCCCTTTCCCCCCCACCCTATCTCTCATTACTGTATGGAATAGCTGACCATCCAAAGGAAAAGACCATCCCACTGGCTGGAAACATTGTCCTAATGAGACAGTTTTAGCATATTTCTTAAGATGTGTATATAGCTCACTGTCACCTCTTAACTAGTTTAATTAATTATTTAGGGTGAGTTCTTGGTCCTCCTCTTTCCCCACTCCTCTGTGCCTTTCATCAGCATCCTCCTCCCTGCCATGTGCTTCCCCTACCTGCAGTTGTCTTCTGTTGAGTTGTCTTCTTGCCAGGATGTTTAAAATACTTTTCTGCACTGGCTCACTCACATCACTGGCAGTGGTGTGGATGTGCACTGTACAAGCTTCTAGTCCATGTAAGATCTGGGCTGTTGGTCTGCCTCCAGAGGCAAAGAATAGAGTGGTTGTCTGACCGTGGGCCTATGTCTGTGAAAGCTGAACACCGCAAGAAAAAGAAAACTGTGTTGGACCACTGGTAGCATCTTTGTAGGTTAGACATCAGTGAAGAATGGAGAGAGAGAAGGCGGGAATAAAAGGAGGCAAGGGAAGAGAAGGCCTACTGTTTCTCCCACTGTAAACAAAGATCTCTGAATACTCTCACTAAGGTGGCCTACCTGGCTCTCTTTTCAAAACAACTCAAGCCCAATGTCTTGCTTTGCACAGAGAAGATTAGACTTGTGCCCTCTTACTGCTTAGCCACAGTCTTCTGTGTTAGTACAAGTCAACCGGTCACCGACTCTGAGGGCAGATCAGAGCAGTGGTATCAGAATGTGGACCACATGACACCAAAAATTTAGTAAGCCCCATTGCCACTATGTTTCTGCATAGCCTTTAAACACTTAATTCCATTTCTCTTAGATGGATGAAAAGAGTTTGCAAATTTTGTTGGCTGTTCAGCTTCAGAGAAATACTTTATGCATTCTGATAATTATTTTAATAATACTACAGCATTCTTGTTTGTGAAAATTGTCTCTCTCGTAAATTATAATACACATTTTATAATGTGTATGTTTATACTTTATCTCTTGTTTAAAGATGCCATTTCTTTTCTGAACTTTCAAAGAATACATTCTGAACATTCAAAGAAAATAGAAGGAAGCCATCAGCAGAATGATCTAAGCCAGGATACTCTGTTCCTTATTAACTGAACCCCAGATCTTCTTTTTTATTTTTCCTCTGGTGTTGAGTTATCATCATCCTGGGATAAAAGTTTTGAAATAAAACTATTTTAAAAAAATCCCTCTTCAAATACAGTTTTGGGTATTTTAAAGGACCTTCTCCCATACAATTTTTATCTTCCTCTCATTATTATCATTATTCACTATGAATTTGCCACTCTTCATTCTGTACTCTGCCCTGATACCTGTTCTAGGTCCTAATATGTTGCTACATATTTGTAAGTTTAATAATTTAAGTAGTGTTAAAATAGATTTAATTGCTGTCAGAAAAAAAATCAAACCTCAGTTTTGCAGATGCCCGAGATGACTAAATGATTTTGTACGCCCACCTGTAAATCCCTCCCTCACAAAGTTCACAGCAAAGTTCCACTGGACTTTTTCAACTACACCACAGGAGAATCACAGCGTATTCAAGAAAAGAAACTCTCAATTGGTCATAAAGGAAAATATATGTATTTATATTGGAATTCAGTTTTAATGATCACTGTTTACGGTTATTTCTCTGTATTGAACAAAAGGTACTTTAAAACCTTTTCCCCATTTATGCCAAGGTATTTGCCCCTCCCTTAAACTAATCAGTAGGTATTTGATCATAAGGAACAGATCTGAAGTGATTTTTTTCATTATTTTCAAAGGAAGGAAAAATATTTTACATTTTGAGGGGTACTTGGTTGCAGGTAAAGAATGCACAGCTTGTTCAGAAAGTCAATTTTCTTACTTCCCTGCTTTGGCATTAAAATATTTAGTATAATATTTGTTATATCCTTGCAAGACTAATTTTTTTCTTATATTAATTGATCTGATTTTTAAAGTTTATGGTTTTATGGTAAAGTATATAGTGATCATTCAGGTGTATTGATCAAAACAAGGACTACACAAATTGTTCTTTACTGTAAAATTCCATTTGTATTTCTACAATCTTTCTTGGGTCACTTCCCAAAAGCATGTTCAATTTAAATGAAATGGAAATATTCCCTTTGAAAGACCATTTGACTCGTGACATATCTTACTATGCTAGTTTTGACCATTGTTAAAATGGCATAAAACTCACAGTGAAGGGTCTATGGCAACCTCCTTGATTCGGACTTCACATAAACATACCCAACATTCTGGCATTTTATTCAATGTCCAGAGGAACCTCATCTGATTTCAGGACTTTGAAATTTTCTCAACTCAATGGGTAAAAGTATTACACAATTTTAAATAACAAATAATATTCATTTCAGAATAACATATAATAATATGCAGTTTAATGAAGTGTTTCAGGAGCTAAGAATGAGGTCATAATATAGTCCTTTGATCTGTTCTTGATCTAGAATTCTTGTTGTAACCTCTTCCTTCAGTTCCTGCAACTCTTCACTAGGCTGGTCAAAAAAACTCCAAACAATATATGTTGCATTTTCATCAAATATACTTTATAAAGCTAAATTAAAACTTAGCACTTCTCTTAGGTGTATCAATTAACACAGTTTAAACAAGTTAGCCTTTTCAAAATATAATGAAAATATGTGGTTCTAGAAAAAATAGCAAAGCTTTTGTAAACCATTGGGCATTTGGAGTTTTGAGAAGCTCTTTGTAACAGTGTTGTTTTTTTTCCCATTTGTTCCCTCTTTACTCAGCATCTCATATTCTCCAGTTCTTCAGGCATTCTTTCTGGGTTCTCAGATGAATCCGCTTTTTCCCTGGCCCTTCCTTGAATAGTTCTGATCCCTAGCCTCCTCCAGGTGAATCAATGGCAATGAAATCCCTAGTGTTTCCCGTAGTTTCCAAGTTATCTGATCTCTTCTGTCATTGGCTTTATTTTGCTAGCTGGGTATTCACCATATCTCAGGTAGTCAATTGCTCTCCTATCTCTTCTTATCTCTTAATTGTTCCCTGATATATCCCTCCATTCACTGGTTCTTCTCAGCTTTCCTCTCTGGTCTGCAGCTCTGATAAATTCAGTTTTATTTTAAAAGATTGACTACAACTGGCATTTCTTATCCTAGTCTTGTTCTTGGGTCTGTTCTTGATTTAGAATTCTAGCTGTAAACTCTTCCTTGGGATATCAAATACATAGGTGTCACAAAAAGAAAGATAGAGGGGGCACAATTTGTTTCTTTTTCCCTTTTCCTCTATATATCTATAAATATTGATTCAATTTTTAAAGGGGCAGACATTCTTTACATCCATTACTTTTCATTTCAATTGAATTTGTGTTGACCTCTCTGTGAAAAGTGTGCTTAAATCACGCAATTCACCATATTCACACAATTCACCAATTATATAGCCATATGTGAATAAGATCACAAATTAACATGCAAATATCATTGATAGGTCAACATCCTGTACCCAACTGGGAAAAAAAACAAAAAACAGAATCCCTCCTCCTATGGAATTAAAACATTCAATGGAAAAATCATAAATGGGGGAGGGATAGCTCAATGGTTTGAGCATTGGCCTGATAAACCTAGGGTTGTGAGCTCAATCCTTCAGGGGGCCATTTAGGGAACTGGGGCAAAAAACTGTCTGGGGATTGGTCCTGCTTTGAGCAGGGGGTTGGATTAGGTGACCTCCTGAGGTCCCTTCTAACCTTGGTATTCTAAATGGGGTCTCCTTAAATGAGTGGTAGCTATCTAAAAAAATTAATAAGTCAAAGAGCACTCAAGTACTTAGAACAACACCTCCCTAAATACCAGTAAAACTCAGTCTGTGTAAATGTGTGTGTGTCTGCATTCCACATACTGTATATAAACAATTAGTATTATATTTATTACTTTTGGATGAATATAAATGAAATTCTGGAAAAACATTAGCCCATATGATACATCTGTCAAATATTCATTGTGAATACTTCTTATTGTCAGAATCATGGAGGTACTTGCTCTGATGTAAGCATGATTGGTCTTTTTACCTCTTCCAATTTGGATAGCACTTTTCCTGCATTACTTGGCAATGTTTGTTCACCACATCTAGCCTTTTGAACATG